CACTCAGTTGTCATTGGTGGTGTCATCCACAATGAAAAAGACGCCCATTAACTGAAGTATCTTGTGCAATAACTGTGATAGTATGGGTGCGTTTGAAAAGACGAAAGATATTGCTCAGTTTAGTGAGAATAAGCCAAGTGTAAACGAGAGAGTAATTGTTAAATTGACTTGCATGAATAAAGGCATTTCTAGTTTCAAGTCACTGTTTGAATGCTATTATCTTTGGTGTAAATCACTCTGTTTCTACGCTTGGTTGATCAGATACGTCGTGTGTTTGTTCCTCGTCTATATTCTACCATACAATGACATGGGTGTGTCACCGTTCAGATTTGAGGATATAGCTGATAGAAGGGAGTCAGCAAATGAACTCTGCAACGATTTTCCAACCTAGAGCGTCAACCTGAGAAGGGTTGTAGGCTTACTGCTGTAAGTCCTACAATTCCTCAAAGGGTAGCGCATTAATCAGCGGTCCAATGTGCTTGGTGTGTGATTTTGTACATGTGTTCATGTTGTATACACTGAATTGATATCATCTGTCATCTAGCTGTTGGTAATTCTGATTGTGTCCGGACGACTTCCACTTGGATCAACAACCTGAGAAGGAATGTAGGCGTACTGCAGTAAGTCCTACAGTTCTTCAAGGATAGTTCGTCATGCATGAATCCACAACATTTGATGTAGTGATTGTACATATGTTTGCTTTAAATAATTATATGAGTTCCAATTATTGTAATTGTCGGTTAATCTTGTTCGTGTTCGGACATTCCACAACTTACAGTCGTCAACCTGAGAGGGGTTGCAGGCGTACTGGTGTAATTCCTGCGCGATTCTTCCAAGGAATTCCATCGAGACACGATCTGCGAGGTTATGTGCACTGTTTGTATATATGTGTGTTGTGTCACATCAATTGGTGTTTTTGGATTCATTGTGTTTACTCGTTGTTTTCGTACCTTGTTGTTATTGCATAATTTTGTTAAAATTTTCGTCGTGCTTAGTTCTGAAGTTGTTTCTTGTCTTCTACATCCGTGAATGAATTGGTTGATGTTAAGGACAGCAGATGGGTCGTATACGCCGGGGAGGCTATTGCTGAGAATGAAATGCATACGGAGATAATTGTTAGCTGTGGTCCCACACGCCGGGGTGCGAGATTGTAGATGACTGAGGCTCGTATACGTCACCGTTACTAGAAATGAAGCAGAATGAGTGACAAGCGATTGCAGTGGTAATTGGTAGTGAGTAGATAAGAGGATGTGCGTAGAGTATCGTGAGGTGGTGCTATGGCCACACTGCATTCTGCAAGAGTCATTCTAGCAAGTGGTGATTGTGTTGCAAGAGGATGTGTCAAGAGGATGCCTTTAACTGGAAGGTGTAGGTTGTCATTGATGTGTGAGATTGTGCTGTGGGTATGCTTGTGGTGTGTTGGCTTTTCTGTTTCCTCTCCATTTCAGCTCTGTCCGTGTGACCCAGGTTCTCGCAATGGCATCCAAGTCAACGTGCATTGGTCGTGATGGAAAAAAGGGATGGATCCCTTATTGGGCCGGCGGGTGTCAATGTAGATGAAGATTAAACGATCAATTCATAGTTGTTTGCTCAAAACCAACTTCCCCAATTTTCGCGGAGGCATCCATCAGCCAGTCATCGTCTCATCGGTCGCTGTTCAGAAAGAAGTCAGACCAAAACTGTTAGAAGTAATATTGTGATTTATTATTGTAATATTTGTTCATAGACCTTAGTTGTAAAGCTTAGTTGTACAATGGCTATGTGTTGGTGTTAGAATAAAGAATTCTCGAGTCGCCAAACTGGGTTCTGGTTTTTGCGTCCGTTCGTACTAAGCGTTTCTGAGAAGCTTCGAGGAACAGCGTGAGTCCCAGCCTAGCAAGAACTGGGCATTAACGGTTTACGAGACGCGGCTAACAATGACACATCATCATATGGATTTACATCACGCTTCAACTGGAATAAAAGTAATGTACTATTTTTGAATGCACTTAATCTATAACGAGATCATACTCTAATACAGTGCCTACGTTCTGTTCTTATATTTTGAATACACTAGTTAGATTCTTAAACAATGATCCCTACAGATTCAACTATGGCCAGGAGGTGTAATCGCGTGACGTTAGGGAGATGTTTAGGTTCGATAAATCCCTTATAAGTTACCACCAATATCAGTTGATAGTGTTCGTACTTAATTACATTAACCTATAGTAAGAGGTTAATATCGTAGAGATTACCGCTCAAGTATGCAGTACCTCCACCGAAAGAGTACCAAATAAAGCACAAGAATAATAGAACATAGGTTTTACCTCATTGCAGCGCAAACAAGTTTATTTAGGTATATGAGCTGTCAATGTAATTGAGGATTGAACAATCAATTCATGGTTGTTTGCTCAACCCCAACTCCTCCATATTTTTCGCCGGTGTCAACAATACGGCAGTTATTGTCCCATCTTTCGCTGTTCAGTGTATTTATAATAACTACCGGAAGTAATATCGCGATTTATTGTAATAACACTTATTCTCGATCTCTCTGTAATAACATTATTGTCGGCTATATGTTGGCGTAAGAATAAAGGATTCTTGAGTCGCCAATCTGTGTTTCGTTTTTCTCGTTGGTTAATACAAATTGTTTCTGAAAGCCGTCGAGGGACAGCGTGTGGTCCATCGTAGCAAGGCCTGTACATTCAGAGTTTTTAAAACTTGACTGACATGAGCATAATCCAAAATTAACGTCTTCATTTCGGATCTTTTTCCCATGGTTTTATGGAAACTCTCTAAAATCCGAATCGCATAACATACAGCTGAAACAACACACCTCCATTTTGTTCTGCTTTATGCCGTCCTCTTCAGCTGGGTCCACGGTCGACCAAGCTCTCTCATCTCTCCCTCACACGATTTCCTCAATATCACACTAGGACGACCAACTCGTCGCCTCCCATTTGGATTCCACTCGGGGGCCTGAAATGCGATGTCATTCGGCGACCTCCTCAATGTATGCCCAATTCATCTCCACTTTCTCCTACAGTTTTTTGAGCGATTGGCTCTTGGCTGGTTTGTTCCCATAGTTTCTTGTTGCTTATTCTTCCTGGCCTTTCGATCTTTAGTACGGAGTGAACGCAGCTGTCGATGAAAGTCTGCCGCATGTTGGAAATCCTTTTCGTGACATGCAGTGGAAGCTTCTGACCTATATAGAAGAACGGAATTCACATTGGTGTTGAAAATGCGAAACTTTTTCCTTGTGCTGGCTGAGTGCGAAAGATTTTCAAACTGGTTTCAGGTTGATGGAGGCGTATCTTGCCTTTCCGATTCTGACTTTGACATCTTCGTCAGTTTTGCCTGTAGTTGAAACAATACTTCCCAGATAAATGAAAGAGGCAACCTCTGTAAAATCTCTCTCGTTAATGGTGACTGGTGCTAGTTGTTGTTGCTGTTGATTGGCTATATTCACCACCTCCGTTTTCTCTGTATTTACCTGTAGTCCTGTTTTCGCTGCCTGTCTCCTCAGCTAGTTTGTTGCTTTTCGCCTGCAAGTCTTCGAGCTTATTTCATATTTCATCTACGAAATTCGGATCTTCTAGAGTCTTCTAATCGGTCGTCCAGCGTATTCCTGACTCCTCGCCCCCAACGGTCTGACGCATAATCCAGTCCACCACAATTAAGAATATCATCGTTGTTGATAATATACAGCCAGCCAGCTTGTCTTACTCCTGCACACTTCGAACGCCTCACTGAGTTTTCCGTTGTGGAACACGTGACACATTCCACCGTTACATGGCCGTTGACTGAGGTTGACAAAGACTTGAGGTACGCCGTAGTGTTGAATTAGTTTCTAAATTACTTCTCAGTCAACGCTGTCTGCTGAAGGCTTTTTGAAGTCAATGAAGTTGAGGTAGAGGTTTGACTGCCATTCTATTCTGTTCTGTGACGACGATGCGTGGAGTTGTAATTTGATTGACACATGATTTGTCTCTCCTGAATCCAGCCAGCTTGTTCCAGTTGGGCTGGCAGAGTTCAGTATCCAGTGCATCCTTTATTCTCTCCAGGATGATGCGACTTAGTATTTTACTTGGCGTGGATAGGAGCATTATTTCATTCAGATTCAGATTTATTGTTTGAGGATAGAAGGCTTGCAGCCTATGTTAATCCTTTTCTAGTAGATTTCTGTGGTTGTCCAAACCCTTCTTGAACGAATCAATTGAGGTTGCAGACACCACTTCTTCTGGGAGTCGGTTCCAAGAGTTTATGACTCGATGTGAGAACCAGTACTCAACAGCAATATGATTTCTCCTTGGCTTTTGAACTCTCCTGCTATGTCCTCTAAGGTGTTCCGACCTGGTGGGAAGGAAAAGAGAGAATAGGTCAGGTCCGTAGTCGTTATTTAAAATTTTAAACATTGTGATTAAATCTCCTCTCTGCCTACGGTATGACAGTGAGAAGAGATTTAAACTATCTAGTCTTTCCTCATATGATAAGTTAGCTATGCCGTAAACCATACGTGTTGCCTTCCTTTGAACACTTTCTAGAATGTGTGAATCCCCTTTTAGACACGGACTGGCGGCCTGGATGCAGTTTTCCAGTCTTGACCTAACCAGAGATGTGTATAAGGAGGTGAACATATCTCTGGTAATTCTTGTAAAGGCTCTGCGAATCGCCCATAAGGACCTGAAACTACGTGCAGCCACCGCGCGACAGTGTGCTGTAGTTTTTAAGTCGTGGCTAACTATGACACCTAAGTCCAAGTGAGTCTGAACTGATGGAAGTGTTATTCCCTCTAGTTCGTAGGAGCTCGCGCTTGCTTGTCCAATGCGCATGGTTGCACATTTTGCCACGTTGATCGGGAGCATCCATTCAACAGACCACTCCGACAGTTTGTTGAGGTCGTCTTGCAAGGTGGACGTATCACTGTTGCCCTTCAGCTCCCTTTTACAGGCAAAATCTGCTTTACACACAAAGATATAGAGCACCAGATTATAAGGTGTAGCTTTCAATCTTAAAACTAGAACGTCAGAAATACAGTTAAGCGCGTTGCGGCGGGAGTTCAAGTTGATTAGGTCGTCACGCAGGTATTGTTCCTTTGATTGTGTTGCCCTAAAATGGGCTTCTTTCACTATCTCTCTCACTTATGCATTCCTGAACAACATAAATTTTCCTAACAACTAGACGCCTATAAGTAGGTGCTCGTAGTAGGACGATGAACGTGTGAAACCTGTGGATTAGGCACTCACTGTCCCGCTAAAGAACTTTATCTCTTGGCATAATATGTATTTTTAGCACTTCACTTTACAAAAATTCATATTTTATGCCCTGAGTCCTTTTATTCCTGCTCCTTTATACTTTATTTTGGCGTATAAATTAGATTAGACTCTACAGGCTCGGGCCCTAACAAGGTTTTGTTAATCAGTTGGCGTCGTCACTCACACAAAAGGTGCAACTTATTTCTAGGCACATAATGTTTGCACAGAGAGATTTGTATTGCTGTTGGGCTACGCCCCGCCCTCAGTCTTCCCAGCAGATTATCACCATATGACGCCATTCATCTGATCGACTACACATATTCGTTGATACTCGTTCTTGTGTGTTATTTTTGATGCTTGTGGAGCTAATCGTATTTCTAACTGATCAGTTCCCGTTGTTCAACTCTAGGCACCTAACTGATCCACTAGCAACAATTCCGTTTATTTCTTTCGTCCCAAATGACATTATTTTATACATATAAGCACTGTGTTAACGTTGTTGTAGTAGTATTTTTACTACCCTTAGTAACTGTAATCTATTATGACTGTTCTTTGCATTCTGAAAGAGTTCCTGTATCCCATTCCTGCATAATGGAACCCCGAAAAGTGAGAAAATCATGGCTTAGTACAAGTCAGGAGGTTTTATATATTGCCTCTGAGGATCGAAACCGACCAGTGGGTCCCATATGGCCACTATGTATTTCTAAGCAAAATTTGAAAAATGAGGAATCAACTAATCGTGTAAGTATTGGTAATTTCATTTTAGTTTCCTGCTTATTTACTTGTTTTGACTGATCACAATTACTATTTGTATTCCAACTTCAGTAATGTACAGATTATCATAGCTCAGCTCAACTAGTATTTTAGAAGTGTATTAACCATTATACTAAGTGTCACACGGCGAATTTAAAGTGTATAAATTAGTAAATTGTTATAAACACTTCATTATAAAGTGTCGTGATGCCTAAATAAATACTTGGTCTCAAACTTTTTACTGCTTTTAAATACTTGGGCGGTTTTCTTATATAAGAACTGCAATACGATCTAGTGACCAAGCTAATTATACTTACTTGCTATGACATCTCTTTAAAGTTGAACAGTTCTAAGTTGAATAAAGCGATAAGGCGTAGAAAAACACATGGTAGAGATATGCACGCTAAGATTAGTCACAAACCTCCACGGTGAAAGTGGTACAACTCACTTGAGTAAAGTGATTAACTGTCTGTTTTCGACAACGTGAGTAAAGTGATTAACCCGTTAAAAAATTATTCCTAAACTAGATGTTGACTCAAGCAGGTTCTGCGTCATTAACTTAAATTTGATGAGATTAAAACCCATATTCAACAGTCGGGTTTTCACTCCAAGGTGTAATAGATCTCAAGATAGAAGGCTGAAACGTTGGGGGAACACTTTTAGGAACAACCTAACTGGCCTGCAACCGTATTTAACTTGCCTAGCATCTAACACCTACCTGGATGGGATGCCAGTATTGATCCTCCATCTGTAACTGAAGTTACAGAGGGTATCTTTTATCTGAGATGAAGCAAGGCAGCAGAGTCTGGTAGAGTTACTCCATATGTGTTTAGGGATGGAGCTGACTGTTGTCTGGGTTAACTAGGATAACATATTATGTCTGGAAATCAGAGATAGTTCTGTTAAACTGGTGTAAGACATTGATTACCCCTGTCTGTAAGAAGCAAGGTAAGTCTTCGTGTGATAATCATAGTGGGGTTAACTCGACTAGTATAGCATTTAATGTTGTAGATTCGATAATCATGCGTAAACTGAGCGGTGCATGGGAGAAACTAAATCGTGGAAACTAGTTAGACTTTAGACCATTAAGAGGATGTATTGATTATATTTTCGCCTTTTGACATTTAAAAACATAAGCATGCTTGCCGGCTTCCAACATTTGCTGTATATTCGGCCTGAAGGTGGCATTCCACCCCGTCAACCAAAACGTGCTGTGGCAACGTTTTCGCACGAAGTACTTAGAAGGTATACTAATCAAGACTGAATACTCGAATCCACGCAGGTGTGTAAGAACTTACAGAGAGTTGTTATCTGAGGTGATGACAATCAGTAGTGTATCCATTGGAGATGCCTATTTGCTTGTTTAATTTCACCATAGATATACTAATAAACTGACTTTAGCTTCTTAAACATTTACTTGCTACTAGGGCACAGTTTTGCTGATTTTGAGTTCGTGGATGTTATTATCCTCTTAGATGAGGATAATAAAACACCTTGAGCAGAAAACTTCGAATGTTTGCCATAAGATTTACTCCTGTAGTAATTTCTGATACCTTTGTAATATTAGTCTGGATGTCTGAAATTAGATGTATAGAGTTTTTCCCGTGCTTTTTTATGTGTGCTCATAGTATCCAGCCTCTCTAGTCTGGTGGTGTACATCCATAGTTCAATCATCACTGTGCCCAGAATTGCTTGCAACTAGTGCTGACATTAGATAATTAAATAGTTTATGGCGTGTTCTTAGACAAAGTAAATGTGATTTGTCAGTAGGTGATGTCACATTATAATATTGGGTATTGATCTATTATTGCATCACTGGTTGAGGTCCATCGGATTACGTGTCCAGTAGCGTTATCAGATGCGGCTCAAAAATGGTATTAGTGGTAAACATGCTGCAGTTCCCCCGTTCCATTTTCAGAATTAATCTGAATTAATGAGTGTTTTTTGGAGTGCAATTAATCAATATGCCTACTTGCTTCATTCTGCTGTCCCCCCCCTCTTGAGCCATTCGGTCTCTGTTTTCCTCATATTGTTCTCGCATTTTTTGTGTGGTACATCTCTTGGTGCACTTGCTGTACCAAGTTTGTGTTTTAATTAAAAATATCGGAATAAAATTCACTCTTCAGTGTTGTCATTTGATAAGATTGTAGGGTTTGTACGCCCTCGATTCAAAAACTTCTTTTTAGATGGCGTTAGGATTAGTTGGAATCACCGCTATCAACACTTCCATAGGAGAAACTAAATTCGGGAAATAAACATCTTTGAAGGAAGAAGTCACTATCAACGTACCATAAATACTAAACCACACTTTTTTGTTCATTTTTAAAGAAGTCAAGATCCATTTTAAAATCATGCTTTGTAAACACTACAGAATTGTATGTTTCCAAATTGTATTATTATTTGGTCATTTTATCATTTGGCGTACGCCGCGTAGTACTGGTGTTTCAGAAGAGACCTTTATACTTGTTTAACTATGCTCTTAAGCAAATAATGTAAGGATTAAATATTGGGAACTGTAGCTCACAGGTGTAGGTGCTAGACTTCCAACCACCGAGTCTTAGATGCTAACCGCGTTCCGCCTATTATGGTTTACTGGTTAGGTAGTATCATTAACCCACACATGACAGATGTAGCACATTGCCAACCACGTACAAATGCATATGATCGTTGAAAAACATTTAATTTTTAATTTTAGAAGTTGAATAAGCTATATGTAGTCATTTATCTATGATGTCGAGCTGGTTACTAAGTTATATCATCCCTTAGAAAGTAGACGGTTTGTTTACTATATCAAATATATCTAAGCATTGTTAACGCATTCTATTTTCTTTTATTTACCTTTCGACAGGATAATATGACTGAGGCAACATCACTTGATAATAAATATACAGTGGTCTTGCATAGGAACGAGAATGAAGAACCACTAACAGTGAATGTTTCAGACATTCTTTCTTTATCGACGTTTTCTCGACGAGCTGTAGTGGATTTTGGTTCAACTACTGGGAAGCCATTAACTCGTTTCTTGTTGCTAGAGAACCCTATTGATGAGGCACAGTCGGTAAGTCTCTGCCCTTTTTATAATGTACTTAGTTATTTATCCCTGATGCACTTGATTCATTTCGTATATGTAAGTTATACACTGTTTTCTGATGAAAACAAGTATTCATAGAAAATAATCAGTGGCATTTCAAACTACAATACTGAACATTGTCATCGTCAGATACACGTCATTGATTGGTGTAAACAAGCTATACTGTCTCTTGCAGGTCCAACCATACCAGAAAGGTTTCTTGTGTAAAGGTTAAACCAAAAGCAGTTGCCATAATGGTGTAAGTTGCCCGCACTCTGTTTAGTGTCTTGGGGTGAATTCTTACTGTTGGTGGATAGTGATGTAACAGGAGTAAGATATTATCCTCTTACAACCAGCAAACCAGCTATGCTTCTTCTCCACCCTGGGGAAGGTGGTTTAGAAAAAGTAATCCCCGAAAATTGTACATCGACTCACCTTGCGGCGATAAGGTCTTCATACTGACACGACTCAAAAAAGCAACTCAAACAGGCAGTGTCTGTTCAGCATCATGCATTTGTCCTCTGACTTCTGTGGTCAATTTTTACCGATGCTCTTTCTGCTTCGATCATTTCATGTAGAAATCAACTTACATAGTCTGAGCAACCGGTAAGTAATAAAATCCCACACGCTTTCATAAATACACAAAGCTTTCTTATCACTCATCTTCATCTTACTTTTCTGTCACCTTTCGTACTATTACATAGGTAGATTCTTCATCTTTCCTTAATTCAGCGACCATGAGAGCTGGAAAAATACTACTATTAGTCTCCTTAAACCATGCTGCTACTTTTTATATCCGAGCGTTCAGTGTCTTTATGCTAAATCTGACAACAGGCGTTATTAGCTAAAACTCTGGCATCTCGAACCACAGATGTTTATTATTGGGGACCCAATGACCGGAGACGATTGCTAATATGTTTCAAAATCGTTCTCAATAACGGAAATCGATTCGGTCTTTGTAATCTCTTAGATCCATTAAGTCTGTATAATTGTTCTTTCTCCCGGGCAACTCTGCTCATTGTAGTTATTTTGAGTTTTTCTTTGCTTCTCTCTACATTTGTATGCAGTATGGAATGTGGTAACGTAAACTACTGCATTTCTGTGCAAAGTTGTACGGTGAAAATTAAATCAGTCAGATTGGTGATTACTGATGAATAATATCAAACTATTATTTAAGCATCCCCTTGATAATAACCCCAGCCGTCTTTACAGATGAAATTCATTTTTTTAAACTGATGAGAACACTCGGTTTCGTCCTGCTTTCCCTTCACATCTTGTTATTTAATTCACATTCTCATATTCTGTGATTTGTATAGATTCTAAGTCCATTACCAAAGTAACCTAAGTCATGGTTACAACAGACGTTCCTGTTCACCAGTCTATAATCTTTTTAAATATTTTAGCAGTTTGTTGCATGTCTCATTCCCTTTAATTTTTTCAAAGGTTGTAGTTCAACGTGGACCTCCAGACAATGAATTCCTTATTGACTGGATAGCATCAGAAACAGATAACGAATTTCGATCATGCTATCCTGCAGTCTCTAAACAAATTCACCTTTCACCTTTGCACGGCCAAGCTCTATTGAAAATTACATGGGCACCTGCTCGTAATTTAACGTCAGAGGGTGAATCTACTTTCCATCACGTTATTCAATTCCGTGTTAATGATGCATACACTCTTCAAGCTGTAATCATTGGTCGATTGTTGCCACGTGTCGAGAAATTCACTCGTCCAAAAGTATGGCTTAAAAAACCACAGGTTAGTTACTATTAAAATACCATCAGTCTTATTATTATACGCGTCTAACTTCATAGGTCTGTCTCTTTTCGACATAGAACTTTGCACAAATGTGCGGAAGTTCAAGTCGCCACATTCCGTGTAGCACGCGAAGCAAGAGAAGAAAGTACAAGAAAAGCATAATAGAGACAGTGAGCAGAGGTGTGAGACAAAGGAGTAATAAAGAGAAACAAAACAGTTTCATTGGAGATCATAAGTCACAAGGAGTGGATGCATCTGCGCTGGCCACTGAGAACGATTTTGAGCCATGTCACCAATTGTTTCCAACCATAGATTTTTACCGTCCCGAGGACCCCAGCCTGGAAGTCTACACCTTCCTACGTGGCTTAGACCAACTGTTGTGGATTTCATTGACTGATGCCAAGTTTTTGTTTGACCGCCGTTAGCTTTTTTCCAGCCTGACCCTATATCCGCTAACATTGCTCGTCGAGGGAGGCGATGACTTGGCATACGTAACGCATGTCCTAACCATCTCAGTCTTTGTAGCTTCACAACTTCGTCGATTGATTTCCCTCTGTTTACCTAGAACTCTACGCCTAACCTCAATGTTGCTTATCTCATTATGCCACTTTACATGGGGAATAGAGCGCAGGCACCTATGATCAAAGACAGCTAATCTTTTCATGTCTTCCACTCTCAATGGCCAGGTCTCACAGTCATAAAGGAGGACGGAGCGGACTGATGAGCAGTACACTCGCTTTTTGGTCGATAGTCCAACATCTCGTCTACGCCAGAGTCGGCGTAAACTAACAAATGCGAAACGAGCCCTTTGTATTCGTGCTGAGATTTCGTCAGAGATCAGCCCGTTGGCGTTGGCTGATGGTACTTCCCAAATAAGTGAAGCGGTCAACGTGCTCTACCACTTCACTTCCTATTTTTAAACTAGGCGTCGATGTAGTCCAGTCCTGTAACATCATCTTGCATTTGGCGGGAGCGAATCGCATGCCAAACATTCGTAGATTGCGGCTCAAGGTGTTTAGAAGACTCTGCATTTCGTCAGCGTCTTCGCCTAGAAGGACTATATCGTCTGCATATTCCAAGTCAACGAGATTATTCCCCGGTAGCAAGTCAATCCTGAGTCACTGAAGTCACCTAGGGTTAAGTCCATTAACACATCTATGATGAAGTTGAATAGAAAAGGAGATAATGGGCATCCTTGACGGACACCACTGGTCGTCACCAGTTCAGATGACAGCTCGCCGTAAGCCCTCACCTGGCTGTATGAGTACGAGTAGAGTGCCTTAATCAGTGCAATATATTTTCTTGGAATTCCCTTTACAGCCAAGCATCTCCAGAGAACTTCGCGATCGACAGAGTCGAATGCTGCCTTTAGGTCAAGAAATATAATGACTGTTGGACGCCGGTAGGAATGCCTATGTTCTAGAATCTGTCGGAGGGTGAAGATATGATCAATACACCCTCTTCCTGGTCTAAAGCCTGCCTGGCTCTCTCGTGTTTGTGCCTCCCGAGCACCACTCAGTCTACGCATGATTATTGAGCCTAAGACTTTAGATACTATATTAGTCAAGCTAATCCCTCTGTGATTATCACAGGAAGACTTGTCTCCCTTCTTGTATATGGGGATAATCAGTGACTTACACCAACCCGATGGGACTTCTTCTGATTCCCAGACGCTGCCTAGTACCTCAGTTAATCCGGACAGTAAGCTGTCTCCACCGTACTTAAATACCTCTGGAGTCATTCCATCAGGTCCCGCTGCTTTGCCTAGTTTCAGATTGGTGACAGCTTTAGTAACCTCAGTTAGTGACGGAGGACCTGTGTCTATATCCCATTCAGGGAGGTGTTGGATGCTCGGAAGGTTGAGCGTGGCTGTGGGCAAATTAAACTGCTCCTCATAATGCTCTTTCCAACGATCCAGTCGTCTATCCTGTGAGCTAATTATAGTGCCATTTTTTTCCGAGATTGTCTCACTAATGATTTGTCTTCTCCCACCCGTTTCCCTGATGAGTGTAAATAGTTGCCTGGTGTTGCCTATCCTCAAAGCTTTCTCCATCTCTTTGGCTTTTGTCGCCCACCACTGTTCACGGTATTTGCGGAGACTTTTCGTAAGTTTCCTCTTGTGCAGCTTTCGCTCCTCATTGAATTCGGAGCTCGCCGGAATAAGTCTTCTAGCATCTATCAGTTCGGATGAGGCGGTGGCGATCCAGTAGTTTTTACTCACCTTTGGATTTACCTTATTCACAGCTTTTACAGCTGTATCTATGGCTGCCTGGATATTTTTCCAAGCTTCTTCAGGGTGAGCACAGCTGTCGAACACAGATATGTGTTTAGCTAGTTCTTCCTGAAATACGGATTTAGTTTCCTGATCGAGTTGGGGACGTGATGGCTTTACCGCCAGCTGTTTCCTACGTCCGTTCAGTCGTAAGCACACCCGAGCGCGGACCAGTGCATGGTCGGTATCTACGCACGTGTTCCAGAAGGAGCGACTTCATAGGTATAATTAGCATAAGTTGAGTCATAAAAGTAAATCATTGTTTATTTCTAGACTCCTATTATTCGCTAGCAGAAATATACTAGTTTGTAGTTCTTCTATATACACAGGTCGTACAAAGCTGATTTCATTGTATAGTAGTTTCACTGGAGTTAAACAGCTATACAACAGTAAGTGAAGCACTTTTAGTCATCGTCTCACATTTCCAAGCTACACAACGTTTACTAAGCGTTGGAAAAGTTGCTGGCATAACTCACTGTATATAGGTTCGTATTTACAGATGTTGACTTCTTTTTCGTCTTTATTTAAATAACTTAAGCCTTTGCAAAAACTGGCACTCAATCCTGCTCCTGTCCACTCAGAACAGGATAATAAGTTGTGTCATCTTGGAGGGACTAAAAGTTGCTCTGGATGCAAAACTTATTTGCCTGTCTGTCTGTATTCGACATAGAACTTTGCACAAATGTGCGGAAGTTCAAGTCGCCACACTCTGTGTAGCACGCGAAGCAAGAGAAGAAAGTACAAGAAAAGCATAATAGAGACAGTGAGCAGAGGTGTGAGACAAAGGAGTAATAAAGAGAAACAAAACAGTTTCATTGGAGATCATAAGTCACAAGGAGTGGATGCATCTGCGCTGGCCACTGAGAACGATTTTGAGCCATGTCACCAATTGTTTCCAACCATAGATTTTTACCGTCCCGAGGACCCCAGCCTGGAAGTCTACACCTTCCTACGTGGCTTAGACCAACTGTTGTGGATTTCATTGACTGATGCCAAGTTTTTGTTTGACCGCCGTTAGCTTTTTTCCAGCCTGACCCTATATCCGCTAACATTGCTCGTCGAGGGAGGCGATGACTTGGCATACGTAACGCATGTCCTAACCATCTCAGTCTTTGTAGCTTCACAACTTCGTCGATTGATTTCCCTCTGTTTACCTAGAACTCTACGCCTAACCTCAATGTTGCTTATCTCATTATGCCACTTTACATGGGGAATAGAGCGCAGGCACCTATGATCAAAGACAGCTAATCTTTTCATGTCTTCCACTCTCAATGGCCAGGTCTCACAGTCATAAAGGAGGACGGAGCGGACTGATGAGCAGTACACTCGCTTTTTGGTCGATAGTCCAACATCTCGTCTACGCCAGAGTCGGCGTAAACTAACAAATGCGAAACGAGCCCTTTGTATTCGTGCTGAGATTTCGTCAGAGATCAGCCCGTTGGCGTTGGCTGATGGTACTTCCCAAATAAGTGAAGCGGTCAACGTGCTCTACCACTTCACTTCCTATTTTTAAACTAGGCGTCGATGTAGTCCAGTCCTGTAACATCATCTTGCATTTGGCGGGAGCGAATCGCATGCCAAACATTCGTAGATTGCGGCTCAAGGTGTTTAGAAGACTCTGCATTTCGTCAGCGTCTTCGCCTAGAAGGACTATATCGTCTGCATATTCCAAGTCAACGAGATTATTCCCCGGTAGCAAGTCAACTCCTGAGTCACTGAAGTCACCTAGGGTTAAGTCCATTAACACATCTATGATGAAGTTGAATAGAAAAGGAGATAATGGGCATCCTTGACGGACACCACTAGTCGTCACCACTTCAAATGAAAACTCGCCGTAAGCCCTCACCTGGCTGTATGAGTACGAGTAGAGTGCCTTAATCAGTGCAATATATTTTCTTGGAATTCCCTTTACAGCCAAGCATCTCCAGAGAACTTCGCGATCGACAGAGTCGAATGCTGCCTTTAGGTCAAGAAATATAATGACTGTTGGACGCCGGTAGGAATGCCTATGTTCTAGAATCTGTCGGAGGGTGAAGATATGATCAATACACCCTCTTCCTGGTCTAAAGCCTGCCTGGCTCTCTCGTGTTTGGGCCTCCCGAGCACCACTCAGTCTACGCATGATTATTGAGCCTAAGACTTTAGATACTATATTAGTCAAGCTAATCCCTCTGTGATTATCACAGGAAGACTTGTCTCCCTTCTTGTATATGGGGATAATCAGTGACTTACACCAACCCGATGGGACTTCTTCTGATTCCCAGACGCTGCCTAGTACCTCAGTTAATCCGGACAGTAAGCTGTCTCCACCGTACTTAAATACCTCTGGAGTCACTCCATCAGGTCCCGCTGCTTTGCCTAGTTTCAGATTGGTGATAGCTTTAGTAACCTCAGTTAGTGACGGAGGACCTGTGTCTATATGCCATTCAGGGAGGTGTTGGATGTTCGGAAGGTTGAGCGTGGCTGTGGGCAAATTAAACTGCTCCTCATAATGCTCTTTCCAACGATCCAGTCGTCTATCCTGTGAGCTAATTATAGTGCCATTTTTTTCCGAGATTGTCTCACTAATGATTTGTCTTCTCCCACCCGTTTCCCTGATGAGTGTAAATAGTTGCCTGGTGTTGCCTATCCTCAAAGCTTTCTCCATCTCTTTGGCTTTTGTCGCCCACCACTGTTCACGGTATTTGCGGAGACTTTTCGTAAGTTTCCTCTTGTGCAGCTTTCGCTC